AAATCTGAGTCCTTCTGATAAAGTCTTAAACCCTCCTCTCTGTCCTCAGCCTGCCTCTGCGGTTCTGGGTGAACATCCTGAGGAACCCTCACTTCATCTTCGACGTCCACGTGACCGAGGTGGTGGACGCGTCGCTGCACGTCATCGCTCAGACCTTCATGGACGCCTGCACCAAGACGGAGCACAAGCTCAGCAGAGTCAGTTCACACCCACACCAAAGCAGCTGTTATCGAGTCTAAATCCACGTCCACACGGCATCTATGAACTGGATGTTTGATATAAAGATGCAGGAAGCTGAAACGTTCCTTCTATTCTGATTTTCTTTACGTTTTGCCAAACTGCTGCTTTTGAAAGTAGCTGAATTAGCCGTTAGCGGTTGGAGCTAGCACTGAATCCACAGATTTGCAGATAAAAGTCAGTCGGTTACTGTGAGACTGAAGAAAACCTAAAAATGTGAAGTTTCTCAGGCAACTTCTGCCTCATTGTTTAAGCAGATTCATGGACGTTTATTTGAATGTGAGATAATGATATTCTCAGGAAGTATAACGGCCTGCTTACACTCGCGTAGTTGTTTCTAATCTATTGCAGGAAGCAGCTGAAAGTTTGCTCCTCAGAATCAGCTGGTTTTTTATCTACATTAACTTTAGTGTATTTAATGAAGCAGTGCAAAGTCTGACCTTCATATCCGCTGGTCTGTGGCTGTGAAATAGAGAAACAACATTTGTGTTTGCATGTTTTACAGAACTGTTTGGACAAATCACACTGAGCATAACGAGGCACAAAATGACTTTAACTAGACATAAAATCAACCGCGAGAGAGACAAAATGACCACAAGGTTACACAAAATGAACAAGATGTCAATGAAAAGGGATATAAAGAGACACAAAGTGACCAAAGGACAGAAAAAATGACCTGAAAGGGACACAAAATGACCACAGAGAGACACAAAATGACAATTAATGGACAGAAAAGGACTACAAAGAGATAACATGACCGCAAAGAGACACAAAATGACCACAAAACGACCACAAAGAGACACAAAATGACCACAAAGANAAATTAAATGCAAAATGACTCTAAGGAGGCACACGATGGGCATAAAGAGATGCAGAATGGCCAAAATGAGACACAAAACGAACTCAAAAAGACAAAAGATGTCAAAATTGAAATCGAAAATCTCTGCAATGAGTCACAAAATGATCAAAATGTGATGCAAAATGACCACAAAGTGACAGGAAGTGACCAAAATGAGACAGAAAATACACAAAACAACCACGAAGAGATGGAAAATTACTAAAATTCAATGCAAAATGACTCTAAGGAGACACAAGGTGGACATAATGAGACACAAAATGACCACAAACTAACAGGAAATGACTAAAGTGAGACAGAAAATACACAAAACACAACAAATGGAGGTTCAATAATGACAACGAGACGGAAAATTACAAAAATTTTATGCAAAATGACTCTAAGAAGACACAAGATGGGCGTCAAGAAATGCAAAATGACCAAAATGAGACACAAAACAAACTCAGAAAGACACAAAATGCTAAAAATGAAATACAAAATCACTGCAATGAGTCACAAAATGATCAAAATGTGATTCAAAATGACCACAAAGTGACAGGAAGTGACCAAAATGAGACAGAAAATACACAAAACAACAACAGAGAGATGCTAAACAATCACAAAGAGATGGAAAATTAGTCAAATTAAATGCAAAATGACTCTAAGAAGACACAAGGTGGGCGTAAAGTGATGTAAAATGACCAAAATGAGACACAAAATGAACTCAAAAAGAAAAAAAACTGCAAAAATGAAACAAAATCACCGCAATGAGTCACAAAATGATCAGAACGAGACACAAAACAAGCTCAAAGAAAAGCAAAACGACTGTAATGAGACAATAAATGACCACAAACAAGAAAAATGACTAAATCATAGACCTGACTTCCGTTTCCCTTTAACTCCGTTTGTAGTAAAGAAGCAGATCTGTATTGAAATTATTGAATTTCTACATTAATTTCTCCTTTAATTCTAATTTTTTTGTCCAAAGAAAAAGTAAAAATCGTTGTTTTGCATTTAAAAAAAACAGCAGAAATGCTCAGATTTGAGCACTTTTGCTTCATAAATGAATCAGTTCTTGCGTTTTTTAGCCACTAGGTTTAATAAACCAGCTGAGTTTCCAGGTTTCGTTCCATAAAAGCTCAGAAACGTGACGAGAGCGTCCGGATGAGAGGCGGGTGTGAGCGGAACCAGAACTCTGCTTGGATCTGCCGTCAGTAAACTTCTCTTCAAAGCTTCTCTGAACCTCAGCTGGAGACAAACCCGCCGCCGCTTCACACCTCATCAGCTCAGCCCGAGTCTCATTACGTCCTCGTCGAGCTCGTGGAGGCCTCGTCTAAGCGAAGCCTCTCATCGGGTCGGGTGAGCGGCAGAAGCAGAGAAGGCAGATTTAGAGATTTGCTTTTCCGACCTCTCAGCGCCCAAACTGGCCTTGAGCTAAAGCTGTCAATCACCGGGAAGACAGACGCGAACAAGTCGGACGATGAAAAATTCATCAGCGCTGGTGAATTATTGACGAGGGTTGTGGTCTGTGGAGGTGGAGATGAAAGGTTGGAGGCAGGAGGAAGGGATTTGGTGTGTCAGCAGGTTCCTGGAAACTCTGAGAATCCCTGAGACTGACCGTCCACATTAGTAGCTGCTGCTGCTGCTGCTGCCGAGAGCTCAGATTATCATGAAGCTCACAGAGAACCCAGCTTCACATAAAAAGTCACTCATTTCTGGAACGTTTGGTTTCAAACAGAAGCAGCTTTTTTACCAACTGTTGCTGGCTAAGCTAAGCTAAGCTAAGCTAACGTTAGCTTCAGGAGCTGAAAATGTACATATGCAGTTATTAAACACATAAATGACTGAGCAGCCTGCAAAATGTTCTCCAGAGAGACAAAAAATAAAGAAGATGTCACACAAAACTATCACAGGAAGCAGAAGACGACGACAACAGGTTGAAAAAACAAACAAACGAGGCAAAAAAAAATGACCACAAGGAGAAAAACGATGCGCACGAGACTGAAAACGACCGAAATGAGACAAACTAAGAGGAATAAAGACAAATAAATCAGATTCAGAACAAACAGGAAGGAGAAAAACAACAACAACACAACAAACAAGCAAAATTAGACAA